CCGTGAGAAACTGTACACGCACAATTTACCTGGAATCCTTTAAATCGGATCGTTAATAAAAATCGCCGATTAAAGAAATGCCGAAATTCAGTATTTTCAGAATTAACATCGGTCTCGTACACTTGGAAAGGACGTTCGAGGGTACCGTAGATACGAATGAAACCCTTTGACATGTATTTCATGAATTTATTGTTATTTTTTTTCCCTTCCTTAGTAGTATATAACAACGTTGCCAATTACGAACACCGAGCTCAGGGCGAGATAAACCGATCTCATCTCCTCTCCCGTCCGCGAGGAAAGTTTCGTAAAGGGATCCACTGGGTGCGCTGAATGCGTTGGATGCCCCGGTGCATCCATAGACTCGAGTTCGCGTCTAATGGCTAATTCATGGAAACTCGTCCCAGACGTAATTCTACCAAAGGATCCGCTGCCAAGCTCCGATGTTTTGGGATCCGACACGACTCGAAATTCGGCATTGTCGACGTTACGATTGGCCTCAAAAAATTGAAAAACACGTTCGATGGGCGTTTCAAGAATTTATTTAAATTTTCCTTTTTATAGCATATGACAAGTAACCCAATTACGGCCTTCGTGTTCAGGTAAACCGATCTCGTCTCCTTTCTCCTCCTCGAGGAAAGTTTCGCAGAGGGATGCACCGGTGCATCCATAGACTCGAGTCGAAATTCAGCATTTTCGACGTTACGATTGGCCTCAAAAAATTGAAAAACACGTTCGATGGAAGTTTCAAGAATTGATTTAATTTTTCCTTTTTACAGTATATGACAAGTAAACCAATTACGGCCTCCGCGTTCATGTAAACCGATCTCTTCTCCTTTCTCGTCCGCGAGGAAAGTTTCGCAGAGGGATGCACCGGTGCATCCATAGACCCGAGTTCGCGTTATGCCTAATGGCTAATTCATGGAAACCCGTCCCAGGCAGGACGTAACTCTACCAAAGGAGCCAGGCTCCGATGTTTCGGGATTCGACGCGGCACCGTCACGGCTGCCGGCGCGACTCCCAATGGGATTCAATTAGGGAGCGAGGCCTAGAGCTCCAGGGAATCTCGGGACCAGGACCGGGACTCTCCTCGCGAACGGAGTCGTCTCTCGTTCGAGCGGAAGACGCGCATGCGAGCCCGCAACAGGATGTCGCCGGGATCGTTGCCAATTCTGATTTACTGCCCGACGTCCCGCGTCGTTACAGGCGACGCCGCGATGGCACGCATCGTTGCCCTTTCTTCCTCCTTCTCCTTTCCCCGTGTTTCCTCTTTTTGTCTTTCCACGCTTCGCCGTTAGGTCTTCCTGATTTTTTCGTACGGAGCTTAGAATCGGAGAGGACTGCCGCGGTCATGGTTGTTTAGCTTAGGGCCTTTTCACAAGTATTCAAGCAGTGGCATAAAAAACTCAAATTACCAATATATATATATCGCCCACAGGATGCATTGTCCTATATGTATTGTGACGATGCACTCTGTGGGCGATCGTCCCAGGTCTGTAAATGTTAAACATTAATCCTGAAATCCTTTAAACTCCTTTTCGAAGGCAGTGGTATTGTATTTTAATTGTATCATTTCATCCATGTCTTATTACAGCCCGCTGAACGCTTAAGACTGAGAAGGAAAAAAGACCGAATATCCGTTGCACTACATTTAATTTTTTTTTTCTTTTTTGGTAGTATAAGTTGCGTAGAGTTAGACGTTAGGACGTCCTCTCGGTGAGGCGAGTGCGGACAACACGAAGACAACATCCATCGCGGGACAAGGGCGCCCTCGAGGGACCCCGGAAGAGGACAGTGACGGTGACAGAGGAGCCTCGCCCCGCCGCCGCCCATGGGCGCCGCGGCCGCGCGGAGAGGGGCCGTGCCGAGCGACCCGCGGCCCCGCGCTTTACGGGAAGGTCCTGCATGTGTTTTTAGAGCAAAAATTTAGTTGCAGCTAAACGTCACAGATGGTGACGTTGGTTCGTCAAAATATAAACAGTTATAAATTCATGGGATTTTGACAGTTGTACATCGATCTTATTACCATTACTTTACCGAAATGACATAAGGAACCCTTCGTATTCGTATAAATCTCAATGTAGACTGTAAAAGACCAACATAAATATAAATATCGATAATGGGACGCACCAGTTTGTGTTACCATTTGAGTATTCAAAACGGCATTACCACCAAAAAGGTTACAGATGAATTTCATTTTATCCACGTAGATTAAATTTCTTAGCGCCTTTCGTATCCTCTTAATAAAATTCTCTTCGTTTCACCTCTAATAAAGGAATCCCTGGAAGTGTCACCCGCAGCGCGGCGCGGCGTTTCACGTACTAAATCAACAGATGGCGCCGCTTTCGCCGTCCCCGCCAAGTTTCCGCTCAATCAATCAATTTTAATCCTTTGATTGGAAATTTTCTCCGCACTCGAGACGAGTTCATCTGCCGAGGAGGATTCGGCAAGGGTCATCGAATTGACCGTGATTGGGTGTGCGACACGCATCCGGCCGCCTTCGGGTCCCACGGCGATGCAGCAGGATGCAGCAGGGTGCAGCGAGATGCAGCGGGCTGCCAGTGGAGGTCTCTTCTCCTCGGGGGAGGCGCGGGTTATTCGTTTCCCGGTAATTGACCGGGCCCCGGGAACGCGGCCAATTGGAATCGAACCGATTACACGTTCCCGGAAATATATGCCCGTCGCGCGCTTCGATTTAAATTGGGTCGGAGGGAGGAAAGAGGGGAGGCGCGGTGATTCGAGTCCGCGACTATCCCCCTATCTCTCTCTGCCCCATTCATAGGAGGCCGTGTCTTTTTTCTCGCTCTGTAATCGAGTTCCTGGGTAGCGACCATCGCTCCGTCGCGGAAACGCTTCCCGGGAACGCGCCGGCCGCGGGAAACGGGAAACGGGAAATGGCAAATGGAAAATTGGCGAAACATCTTTTTCCCCCTTCGTTTAGGCAATCTGTCCTCGGCATCTGTCTCTAAGTACACGCGACGGCCCGACTGCGGCTCGCGTGACTCGCCGGGTCCAAAGGAAAATTGCACAGGGACATACACGCGGCGCGACGTAATCGCGCCGCCGACATGACTCCTGGTATATACAACGCGAATCGATCTGTCGTTCCTCCGGCGAGATACGGCTCGGTTACCTGTGTTACTCGCCGGCTAAGCGGAACACGTAAACTTTAAGTGCGGCCGTAAGTGCGGGGGAGCGGAATATCACGGAATCGGCAGCGTCGATTCGTCGCTGAGGATTCCGTTCGAGGATCGAGGGTTAAAAATGGCCGTCTGAAGCCACGATTCCGCCGCCGTTAATCCTTTGATTTTCGCAAATAAATATCGATGATTAATGCGTTTCGCAATAAATATCGATGATTTATGCGTTTCGGGGCTTCGATCACAAGATAGCAATAAGGTGCGGCATCAGAAATCGTCGATTCGTCGTCGCGAGGTCTGACGATCAAGGGTTAAAAATGACCGTCTGAAGCCACGCGTCCACCCTCTCGGCGCCCTTAACCCTTCCATTTTCCCGAGTGTGTCGCAATAAATAACAAAGATCGATGTTTTTCAGGAACTCCGATGGCAAAATGCCGATCATTGAGGTTGCAAATCGGGGTACGGAATCAGATCACCGCGAGGTTCGACGATCGAGGGTTAAAAATGGCCGACCGAAGCCACGCGTCCACCCTCTCGGCACCCTTAACCCTTCCATTTTCCCGAGTGTTTCGCAATAAATAACGAAAATTGATGTTTTTCAGGAACTCCGATGGCAAAATGCCGATCATTGAGGTTGCAAATCGGGGTACGGAATCAGATCACCGCGAGGTCCGACGATCGAGGGTTAAAAATGGCCGACCGAAGCCACGCGTCCACCCTCTCGGCGCCCTTAACCCTTCCATTTTCCCGAGTGTTTCGCAATAAATAACGAAGATTGATGCGTTTCGGGGGCTTCGATGGCAAGATGGCGGGCATCGCGGACGGGAGCGCGACGAGGCGCAAAAAGCGAAGCGCGAAGAGCCCCCCCCCCCGGGGGGGGGCAGGTCCGAGCGGGCAAAATGGACGCCGGTTGATTAATGTGAGGTCTGCCGCTTTTATCGCCGAGGGAGAGCTCGACGAGGTGTAGGACGAGCCGCGAGGATTTTCGAGCCGGACGCGCTCCGGGGATAATTAGTCGCGAAAAAGGACGCGCGGTAGCGCTTCCTCCTCCGAGTCCGTCATTCAGCGATCCAATATCCAGGAGTCCAGAACCATCTCGGCAACTTCTAACGAGCAGGCTGATCGAGTGCACCTCGCCTCGAAACTCGGCACCGCTCAGGTGCGTCGAATCGGTCCACCCACCTTTACGGAATTTACACTCTCAATTTTCTTCACTCACGCGACATGAATTAGCGGATTAACGAGTCCGGAAGATTTCACTCGTCTCCCCGAGAAGAAAGAAAAATCAAGTCAGGCAGAAATCGGCAACCCGTCGATTCGCGGATTGCTCTCGATGTAACCTTAAGGCGACGTGAAAGTGGCGGGAAGGTCTCCTTTTTGAAACCTTCCTCCGAACGGGATGTACCGAATAATTTCAAACTTTACACCGTTAATGCGAATGCCATGAAGAAGGCGCCGAACCCCCGTGAGATTTCGATTTTTCAGAAAATCTCTTCGCAGACATTTTGAATATTTTTCATAAAAATTGAAATTTCGAGAGGGTTAGGACCTTCCTCGTAGCCTTCGTATATACGTTGTAGAGGGTGAAACGATTGGGTAGGCCCAGGTTGGAGAAAAGTCTAACGCACGATCAAATGGCAATTTTACCCACCCTTAACACTAAAACTACCACCGGAGGGTCAAATTGATCGGTTTAAATGGCATTTGTAATGGGGGTATAAATCGTCGGTAGGTTACGTGATAAAAGAAAGAGATTTCCAATTTCTATCGCAGCTCGCCTAGACGCATTAGGAAGGAGTCTCTCTCGCGGGAATCCTGGATAAATTCGGAATACCTAATTATCATGGAAAAATCATCACTCACCTCGACAGCGGGCTGCTGATGATATAGTGCGTGTAGTAGAAAATGCTGGCGACGGAGACGAGGAGGAGGGCGGCGACGCACCTCTTGACGGTGGCCTGTTTGACGACGCACCTCTGCGCGACGGCGCCCAAAAGAGGAACGCCGGCGTCTCCAGCGGAGATCTTCATGACCATCGTCGGACCCTAGGTCTCTCAGGTCGAGGTCCTCTGGTGGGCCTCGAGGTTCCTAGTTCCTTGCCGAGGTGGCCAAGGACGATCGGGGGCGTCTCCGTCGTCCATCGTCGAGGGCCAGCGCGAGTCTAACCCATCCGGAGGCGCGCGACCCGCGCCCCCGGATCGGGATCGGATCGAGCCCGGGATCAGCGGTCGACCTCGACCTCCATCTTGTCCTCTCGTCGCCCGCCGCCGACCCCGCGAGGCCTCATCGGTCGCCGCGCGCCGACCCGGCCGATCGCCTCATCCCGGGGGGCCGATCTCCGGCGACTCTTCCTCTTCTTCCTTCCTGGAGGTCTGGAGGTCGGCGCCACCTCGGGGACGACTCTGTCGATTTAGTCGGCGACCTCGCGACGCGTCGCCGATTATCCGCGATGTAGGGCCCCGTCGAGCGCCGTTGTCCCTCCTTCCTTTTTACGAGCCAGGTCAGGGGCGAGAGGTACTCCTGCAGCCTCCTTCCAAGACAGGTCTCTCACCTGGAATCAAGAGGACTCGATGAGCAAAATGTCAAAATACGATTAATGCGAGTAGAAATATACCCGATGATAAGACAGGGATTGTCGAGACGCTGACCTCGACTCTACGTTGAAAAAAAAAATGATTAAAAAAAAAAAGGGGGAATTTTGAATAATGATCATTTAAATCAAATAACAGGGTTTTGGGCAGAAATCTTACTACCCCAAAGAAATATTTTTTCACTCAAAGAAATGATAATATTCAGCGAATTTCATTAAAACTTTAATGCGTTTAATGGCAACGAATAACGGTGGTATGTTTCGTCCGATCTAACGAGAGAAATGGTCTCTATTATTTTAAGATGTGGAGTGTTCGATCGATGTATCGCTTCGGAATGGTTTCAATGCTAGTTTCCTTGATACCGTTCAAGAAAATAATTTCATTGAAAGCGAACAATTTTTTTCCTGCTGTTAGGGGGTGCGTCTTATCACATCCCGATCGAGGACTCGACGAGACAAAATGCCGAAATAAGATAACGTAGAGATGACCCGATGTTCCGTAAGGGTTTATCATTCTTCGAATTAACCCTGTCAGGGTACGCCTTATCAGGTCATGATCGGGATCCGATAAGGATTCTTTTCGAAGTGCCTCGTTTAAAAAGATCGAACATAACGAGGCCAAGATCGCATTGTTATATCGTGATATTGAACATGGAAAAAAAATCGAGACTCGAAAAATCCTCCCTCGGGTTTAGACCGTGTACTTTTTTCTCGCCCCGCCTCGATTAATCGGCCGTATCCCGAAGCACGATTTTTTTTTTCCTGCGGAAACACCGCAGCGGAAAGCAGTCCATTAATCAGCGAGCCCCTGCCGGGGTTAGGCTTCTCATTTTCTGGAAACGCAATCGCTCGTCTCGTAGTCGAGTATCTCGAGTTATCTGTTGTTATTTCGAGTTATCTCGAGTTCCGCGAAATACGATTCGCCTAGGAAATGACGTCAAAAACTTGTCGAAATTCCGGCGCCTCCTCGAGTTCCTCCACGCCTCTTTGCTGGTGTTTCTATATTTCTTTCTAAAAAAAAGAAGTAAACAAAAAAAAGAAAACAAAAACAAATAAAGAGAGAACGCGCGCTTCCTTCCCTCCCTCCCTCTCCCTTTCCCGGGGGCCGACCTGGCATTTCTCACCGGGGACGGAAATATCGATGTCTCTTCCGCCCGGAAAAACGCAACGCGAAATCTTCGAAGGGGAGGAGTCCGCCCGAGAGAAATGGCCCCGGTCTTCCCGGGAACGTAATTACTCCTCCTTTGCCCGTTCAGGTTTGTCGGGGACATATTTCAGGACGCATCGGAGGTCGACTTCGTGGTTCAGGTCGAGGTTTGTACCGCCACAGAAGAGGATCTCCGCTCGCTACCGACGAGAAGTTCGTCCGAGTCATTAAGAAATCTTAACGGACCACCAGAGATCATATCCACTTCCACCACGTCCAGAATATTAACGGACCGTTTAAGGGCTTTCGGTAGCAAAGAGAAAAAAAATATAAAAAAAATAAAAATAAGAAATTGTGGTTCTCACTCTTCGTGAGAAAATTAATTTCTTTAAAGGAGATAAAAGTGGAGGAGGCGTTTTGTCGGCTAATCGGTCCGCGACCAGGTCTCACCCCAAGGTACTCAGAACGATCCAACCATCGACCTAAAACTGCACCTTGACAGAGTCACCTAATTCCCACCCCCAATGGCGGAAACCTCGTCGAGAGTGCTCACCCCTAGAGCAAAGGAACTCCTTTCCAGCACCTCGGCACGTAATCCCTTTTTCGCATCCAATTCGTCGATGCGCCTCAAAGTGCAGCGCCATGCACTTTTGTTTCCCCGCCACGGAGAGGGTCTGAAACGCAAATGACGCGAGGCGTCGCGCATCCACGGAATAGCGTCGATCCGCGTCTAGGAGCCGCGCCAAAGGGACTCGCTTTTTACCGGGCGCCGGTCGCGTCCCGATGCGCCTCGATGGGATTTTAATCTCGCAAATGCATCGGACGCCTCTCGGCAAGATTAGGTTATACCACGCGGTCAATCCGCGCGTCCTTCCTTTCGCCCTTCCGTTCGCATTCTCTCAGACCGCGCGATAAGTGCGACGAGTGCCTTATCGGTGTCCGGTAAAAATAAAAATAAAAAATATATATATAAAGAGAGGAATAAGTAAAAGGAGAACACGACGACGCTCTTCGCGCTTCTCCGAGGAGAATGTCGAGGAGGGAAACCGTTACTCAAAGCTGGACGCGATTATTGCAGTCCGTCGACGTCTCCGTAACCGGATAGGGCCGACCTCGATTGCCTCTCGTTGCTTCTCTCTCCCACTCGCGGCCGGCGCGCTCGTCCCCTCTCTCTCTATCTCCCGGCCCCTCGTCAGCGGTCTTTAATCGCGGCGCGAACGCGCGCGTCCCCGCGTCTTTTCCCGCGAGTCCCGGGATCTCTTAATCCAGCGCGTCAAAGTACTCGGATGAAAATACCAGAGGAGGCGACCCTCGACCTCCCAAACTCTAATGGAAAATAGGGACGATCGCGAGCCATGGGGCCATGGTGTCTCCTAGAGATGTGCTCGCTCCCACTCTAATCCCGGCTACGGCTTAGCACCCGGAGTGCCCTCTGATCCTGCTTACAGCGCAGGGTAAACAGGACCAAAGTGCACTTCGCCTTGATCGCGCCTCTCTGATTGGAGGAATATATTGTCGGCAATGTCGTCGGCAGTGCACCCGATTAATACTTTGCAGCACGTAGACGGGTAGAGGCGCGAGAATTTCGGCATTCCCAAACGTGCTCGTAGTTCCGATAAATCGAGCACGGTGTAGAAACCTTGATATAAGGGTGAAAACGGATTATATAATGATATATTAACCCTTTTGCTACGATAATCCATCGCACCGGAACGCCAGTGTTGAAAGAAATCGCCATACCATGAATGGGCACATTGCGGCGTTTACACGGTGTCATAACATTCATAAACGTAATGCGTAACAGGGCGAAAGAAGCGCGTGAGGGAGGGGGGCGAAAAAGATTATGTATTTATTATTTTAGAGCAGGGCAGATTGAAAGACTTCGTAGGGTGTGAGGCTTCACGGACGTTTCTAATAGCAAGAGGATTAAGGTGATGTGAAAGTGGCATCTAAGAGGTTTTTTGTTTATGAAACTTTTCTCCAAACTCGGTTTACCGAATAGTTTGAAACTCTACAACGTGAATAGGGAGACTATAAGGAAGGTCCTGAAACTCATGAAATTTCAGTTCTTTTCAAATTTCTTTATAGGTATTTTAAAAATAGTTTANCCCCGTAAATGATCTATGCCTCCAGACGAAATAATTCCAAATGAAACCGTGTAAACGAAATAATTTAATATGAAGCCACATAAACGAAGGATAAAATGTAAAATTAAGGAATCGGAAAATTCATCCCCAGGTTCGTGTTCGATTTTTCTCTCCGATAAATTATTTATGCCCCTAAACGAAATAATGAAGAAACTCGGTAGAGTTTCGAGCCAAATATAAATTTTTCTATAGGGATCATTCCGCCGGTCCATTGTTCCGACGAAGAAAGTTAGCCGGCCATTAAGGGCCATGAAAAGCCGAATCGACTCCCATCGGAGGCGTCAAGTAATGATATTGAAAATCCGGGCGCAATATTCGCGTACGTCGGAGTAACCGCGGGAAAAACAACTCGTAAATAACCGCGGCCCCGGCCTCCGGCGTAAAAACGAATGGGTTTCCCATGTTTTAAACCACCCCTCGCGCCGCTTTTTCCCTTTTTCCCCTTTTCCCGGTTTGCCTCCCTCCGCGTCCCTAACAACGCGCCGTCTCGTGGCTCGATATCACCTGCCGAGGAGGGGTCGACCTTCTCGCCTTATCAGCCGTGCCAGGGACCTCGAGAAGTGGAAATCCTAGGAGGAGCCTCGAAAGAATCTCCTCCGTAGGCATTAAAAATACACCGACACCGGTCGAGGTCACCGACACGGCTCCGCAAATGCATCCGCGAGTGCATCGGCGAGTGCATGCGCGAGTGCAGCGAGCTCGACGCGTCGGGAGCGAAACACGAGCCTCGAACACGAGCCTTGCGGACGATTCCGTCCGGATTTTTAAATCCGGCGAAACTGATACCGCTATCGCGTTTCACAGAGGACGCACCGGGCCCGCGGAGAACTCCGCGTGAGTTCCGTCGCGGCCCTTTTCCTCCCCAATACCGCGACGCGCCTCTTCGACGGAAACCACGGAGGCCAGGGGAAAAATTAATTACCCCGGCCGAACAGTCGGCGGTAATTACGCGGGCTCTTCTTCCGAATAATTATCCTTCCGGAAGGGGGAGGGGAAATAAAAGGAGATCGCCGGGGGATAAAGGTCTCGGCGCTCGAATACAGGTCCTCCCTTTCGGGCCGAGCCAGATGCTCTAATTAGACGCTATTAGTAGGCAAAGTAACGTTCAAACGTGGCCAAAAGAGGAACCGCGCGCACTCGGGGGTGTACATCCACCCCCCATACCCCCGCGAAGCATTTTCCCGGGATTTTTTCCCGGCTTTCCGCCGCGACGGGGGAAATTTCGCCGACTCGTAAACCGGGCCGCGAGATGGCGGAACCTCGTCCGCCAAAAAATTTCCGCAGGAACTTGCGCCGGCATGAGTTACCCTCGTTTGGAGCGAATCACTTTAAGAGTCAAAATTGAGTTTGATTCACCAATTAGTCCTTACCCTCTCTTTCATGATCCACGCTCGCATAGAACGGTCCCTAGAATAAAGTCACCGTTGCATATATAATATATATTCCATAAAATTAAATCTTTTTTTTATAAAATAAAATGTACGAGGGTCAAGACACCTTGCTCGGAGCCTCCATGTTCACGCAGCGGAATGTAAAATCATTCTGTACGTTTAATTGGGAAAAAATTGTCATATACGATTGACGTCTCAGCCAGGTCATTTTCGTCCCGCCTTAAAGAACGTATTGGCGGATAATGGAACTGGAGATTTCGGTCGACGCGTTCGTCG